TTTATGTTATTAGCTATTTTTCCAAAATTTTAAGCCTTCATATCAATATAATTTTGTGAAAAATAACATTTAGATGATAAAAATTCCCAAACTTTTTATACTAGTGCTATTAAACATACTTAAGCTAGGAAAAATATAAAAATAGATTTCTAAATAGTTTAACCTAATGTTATGGTTTTTGTGCATTTAATTTAACAAAATTGGAGATAAATATAAAAGAGTTTCCAAAATTAACCAAACTTTTTGTAACACTGTTATTAAACATACGCAAGCTGCGAAAAATTTTAAAAAAAAATGTATTTTTAAATAGTTTAACCCGATTTTATGATTTTTGTGCATTTATCTAACAAAAAAGAAGATAAATAGAAAACATTTTCCAAAATTACCCAAACTTTTTATAACATTGTTATTAAACATATAGAAGTTGCGAAAAATATAAAAGATATTTTTCAATCAGTTTGGCTATTTTTATTTGTTTTATACACTGAAATAATCATTAATTTGTGAATAATTACTAAACAATTAAGGTAAATCGCGAAACTTTTTGTAAATTTCATATATAGAGTAAATATATTATAATGTTTTCTGGTAAATGTTCATAAATTTTCGATGAGTAAAACTACTTAAAAAAAATAGAAGAAAAATAGCATACAAAAGAGAAAAATCTTCCAAATTTTTATTTAGCATCATAATATATTATAAGATTTTCTGGTAAACGTTCATGAATTTTGGATAAATAAAACTATTTTTCCGTTTTTTAGTCCATTATAAACACAAAAATAATAGAAAACAGATATACATTATGAAAAATTCCCAAAATATTTTTCTGAGTATTTGACTTGGGGTGGGATCTACGAAAAATCATAGATAATCTTTACACATCTCTAAAGTATCTTTATGATTTATTGGAACTAAATAAAAAGAAAATTAAAAACTTTACTACACAGTAACAAAAATCGTTAAAACTTAATGAGAGGCCATTTTTTACATTAGGGATCATCCACAAATTTATTTAGGATTTATAGATCTCAGAAAGTATTTTAAATGATTTGTTGCCTTGTTTTCTTGTAACAATTTTAATAAATAAAAGTAATGATAAAAACTCTTGGGATTTCTCAGATCCTCTTATTATCTTACTAGGATTCTGAAAAAATTTTGTTTTGAACGTAAAAGGATATTAGAATTTTTTTGATCATCAAGCTTTTTAACTTGATGTTCATCACATGCATCACGGTTTAAAGACCATGCATGGACATATTTTATTCATAATGATATTTTCAAATGAAAAACTTGAATGCATAAGGTAGATGAACCTTTAAAACTTGCAAAAATCCGTATTTTAGGGTTTGACATAGGTTTTGGTCATTGGATTTCACCATTAAAGAACATGCATGTTGTTATTGGGTGAAACCCTACCATCATCATCATCAAACTCGACATTCATGGCTATGCTCAAGATTGTTCATAAAGAATGATGTAGGAGGAGGGGAAGTATAAGGAAAACCTTTAAAACTAGAAAGATAAATGGAGAATGAAGGATTTTCGTGATTACCTTGAAAAACAAACCTAGAAGATGAAGTTTTGGAAGGTTGAGAGGTGTTCTTGGCTGGAGAATTTTATGGGTTTTGAGAGAGAAAGAGAGAGTTTAAGTGTTATAAAGGGTGGAGTGAGAGAGAGAGAGTGAAAAGAGGGATATTAAGTGAAGAAACAAATTAATGATTGAAAGATTCAGGGAAAAGAGAGCATGGGAGAGAGGGTGGCCATATTTTAGGTGGATGAGAGAGACCCTCTCTCTCCTAATTCAAATTAAATAAATTTCCCTTCGGTTTTTATAAAACCCTATTTTTTATAAAAAGGCTTCTTTATTTAATTTTTGATTTATTTAAGATCATTGTTTTTAACTAATAAATTATGATTAATGTTTGATAATTAAATTTTTATGTCTTTGATTATATCCCATAACTTTGATTATTTAAATTTGATATAATGAGGTTCATAACAAATCTTATATAGAGTTTGTAGGTTTTAAAGTTTATAAATTTGGATTTTTTTTTTTTTGGCTCTTTAGGGTTTTTGGAACTTTCTTAGATATTTAACATCATATTGAAATGAAATTAGAAGATTTTAATTTATTTTAAGGGTTTTATACCCTTTTTCAATTGTAACAAATGTCTGGAGTTCGTTCTAATTCGGGTATTGGCATTTCTTACAATAGCTAGACAACTTACTAAAATCGTAAGAGTCAAGTATATTAATCCTAGATTTTAATTGAGTCCTAGCTTATACAAGACTATAACCTAATTTATACTACTAGCACATGGCATGATGTGCATATATGGTTTATAAAAAGATGCATGAGATCGAGAATGACCTGAATTTGACAGTTGTCACACATAAGCAACTCAATCATATGTTATCCCACACACCAATTAAAAGTACATATTACATCTAAATTTCCATGAAGCATTTGGTAAAATATAAGTTATTACAAATGATAACAATATGCTAGGTGGTGTAAGGTGGCATAAGATTATTATAGTAGGGTGGTTATATATATATATATATATATATATATATATATATATATATATATATATATATATATATATATATAGGCCTAGGTTATTCTATTAAAACTAACTATTGTGTTATTGTATGCATAAATGTGAGCCAATCTGTTTACTTATTTTAAGAAAGTGATTAATACATATTAGTGAATTAAAAATACTTGAAAAATACCATCCAATTTAACTAGAAGGATATTTTAGTTAATTAATACATCCTCCTTAATAAATGAAAGTTTTTTTTGCCACTTGTCCTCTTCTCATTCATTTGGACACATGACATTTTCTAGATTTTTAAAATTTTCTATTTTCCACTTGTCATTTTATAGTATTTTTCATTTTATTAAATTAAAATTCCACATTTAATGTGTAAGGTAATATATGTGTAAAATATTTATTAGAAAGAGTTTATATATGTAATGTATTCAATACATTAAAATCTAATTAATTTTAATAATTCAAATTTTTCTCATTTTTCTTATAAATTTAAACTTTTCAAATTGTTAAAATTTTATTTATTTTTTTTAATTAAACCCATGTAATATATGGGTCTCACACCTAGTATTTAATAAAGAAAATTTGCATATTTTAAGGAATCATAGATTATATTAATTTTAAAAATCCGAATTTTAATAATTATAAGGTTTTTAATTCGGATATTCTGACAGAATATGCTTATGAGTATATTCAAATAAAAATATTCTTGAGCCGTAAATAATAAAAAAAAATTCTTGAACCTATTTCTTGATCATAAATTTAAAAACTTCTTGTAGAATAACAAATTCTTTAACAATCAATTGAAGAATAAAAACAAAAGATACATGATTTCTTATAGAATGCGGGTGACAGTTAAGAATTATATTTATTGTTAAAGAATAAAACTAAAAAACTTTCAAAACGGGAAAGAAAACATCAAAAATCTAACAACGATTAATACATTTTAAAAATATAATGTGATCCGTTTCAATTTTGTGGTCCGTTCTTCAAGCATCAACTTTTGTGATTCCAACAGAATTTGAATTCGTAATTCCATTCCCACAAAATTGGAATTCGTCACCATCTGAAGGAGTGCAAAGAAGGGATAAAAATGGTAAAAGTCCGTGAAATTTGAAAAGAATTTCGGATATTAGGTAAAATCCGTGAAGATCTGAAAGTCGTGGGGTCTAAAAATGAAAATATAACCGATATTCTTCAATTTGACGCTGAAAGTGTGAAAAGAGGGTTAAATCTGTAAAGTATGTAAACATTTGAGGACTGGAATAGTTTAAACGCTGAAGTTGCAGGGACCAAGAATGTAACATCAGTCATCTTCTTCATACGAATAAAAAGAACACGCTTTTGACTCCTAAAAGTCAATCAAATTTCCGTTTACAAACCTCCGATCTATTTTCTGAAAATGACGAAATTGATTACCGACAATTCTAGTTTCCATCTCGACTGTGTTGTGCAAATCCGACTATTCTAGTTCCCACAGCCTTCCGATCTTTCCATAAATCAGAAATCAAAATCGAATTCCCGTTCAAATCAAACACCTCTACTCTCTCCAACAAATTGCCCGTTTCTTCGCTGACTCCAATCGAAGTTTCATAAGTTCGTGTGCCATTAATCTGCCAAATTACATAACTTCTGGATTAGTGTGTGTATTACGATGGAGAAGAATAAAACCTGCCGGTGGAGCTGGAGACGGCGGCGGAGACAGGGCGGCGAGTAAGTTCGGTGGTGAGTATGAGATTTAAAGACGAACCCTGCACCCTTACGCTATGCTTGGATAACACGACCCATTTCTAAATTAAAGGGATATTAAATGATATTCCTAAATTAAAAGGATATTAATTGATTTATCATAATTAATTAAAATGTAAGATTATATTGATTTACATTATGCATATAATAACATAATACTTAGTTTAAACAAATTAACTTTTTTATATATATATATATATATATATATATATATATATATATATATATATATATATATATATATATATATATATATATATATATATGGTCTTTTATTGTAACATTAGAGTATTCACTGTTGGTGAAAATGTGTCTATCAACTATAAATACATTAACCATAGATAAACTCCGGTGTCTAATGAAAATTTTAGTTTATAAAGTTATGTGTAAATCATTTTAACATTATGTTCTTAGAGTTCAATTTAAAGAGAAAAAAAAGGAAGGAAATAGACAAAAGTAAAAGAAAAGTAACTGAAATTGGTGTTTCCGAATTTTATTAAAGGAAGAAAATAAAATAATTACTCTCTTCTAATTTTCCTTTCAATTTGGAAGAATTTAAAAAAAAAAAAAAAATGTTTAACTTTCATTCCACTTCTCTCCGACTTAAAAATGCCAAAAAACTAATTTCTTTTTATTTCTTTTCTTTACATTATTTTATCTTATTTTCTTTTCTTTGTTACAATTCCGAAACGGTGCGTAAAAAAAAAAAAACTAAAAATATTACAATATTAAAATGGTCCGAGGTAGAATATACACCTTTATAATTCGGCCAATCAAAAGAAAATGGAGTAATTAGCAATTGTGGTTCAACAAGATTATTTCCTGCTATCCGGTTCATTATTGGTCGGGTGGTTTAACCAACCTCTTCAGCATACTGGTAATTACAAAATGACATTTTCTATCTGCAGTCATATGATACAATTCAATCATTTAGGAAAGCATTTAGAAAGTCATGATTAAACTTTTATATCCCCATGATATTTTAATTTAATTGGCAAAAAATATAAAAACGTTATGGATTAAAAAATAGTTTACGAAATTGAACATGACATGTAGTCGTGCAGACACGAAACACACTAAAGATAATGATCCGTTTATTATAAAAAAATCAGATATCTAGGAGCCATAGAAACGTCTGTTTGCCCCTAAATGGCTAAATCCTTTATCGAAGAAACAACAAAACCAAAAAAACCCCATATAAAATTATAAATCAATTAAACACTTATGTACTTGTGAGTTTACTTCTTGGGAGCAAATCTCGATTTGATCTTCTCCACCTGTTTGGTTCCAACTTGGAATGCCTTAGTCAACACATCATCCTCCACCGTCGGAGACGACCCAAACAAAGCGTCTGCCGCCCTTTGGGTGCCCGGCAACTGGCTGTTGAAGCCAGCAATAACAGCGGCTGGAACTTTACCATTGTTTATCTGGAAATGAAGTAAGCCTCTGGGGAATACGAAGACTTCTCCCATCTTTATGGTCTTGGTGAATAGTTTGTTTGCTGTAGTTATGAATCCCACGTCCAGTTCTCCGGTCAACACAAACACTATCTCGGTGGCTCTCGGGTGGGTGTGCGGTGGGTTCAGGCCGCCTGGTGCGTAGTCAATACGAGCCATCGACACGCCAAGGGTGTTTAGCCCCGGGAGTTGGGTGACGGAGGCTGGTGTAACGGTTGCGCCGAATGTGTTGTTGGTAAGCGCCGCCTTAGCTAACCCCGGAAAGAAGAAATCGTCGGCTGTTATGTTGCTTTTGCACGGGAATCCATTCAGTTTTAAATCTGCGTATTTTACAAAAATTCATAAACGATTAATCTATCATCATATCATAAAATAAATGAATTACTTTAGGAAATAAATGCCCGATATTCATGGAGAAAATAGAAAATAAAATGGATAATGACAAAATATATGTCAAGAATGTGGTGGCTTATTCTTTAGGGCATATACAACTACTAAAAGATAAGTACATTGACTTGGACTTTTCAAAAGCTTAATGCTCTTTTCCATTTGCATCAACTATTTGACCAAGAACTTGATGAGTCATAAGTTCAAAAATGGAGGTTTATTGCAAAATCTAATCGGGTTTTTGAAATATGCGTGGAAGACAAAAAGATTGTGTAGAGATGAAGTACCTGAGGCAAGATCTGCAACACAGACATCTTGAAGCAAGTCGGGGTCTGCAGAGAGGAAGGAAGCCAAAAAGATGGGCATCAACATGCTAATCACCAACACATAAGCACGAGTATCCATGGCAAGTCTTGATTACTCAGAATAAAAAATAAACCCTTTTCCACTTTGTATGGGGAAGGTGAAATTATTGATTGAGAGAGAATTAAAGGTTGGTTTGAGTGGGAAGTGGAGATGGGGGTATTTAAAGTAGGTGGAGGGAGGAGACGTTTTGACAGCAGATTCAGATCGGTAGCTGGTTCCTTTCAATTCTTTATAAAGTATTTTTTGGACGTGTCTTATACTTTGGGCTTTATTAAATTTATGATTCAAGATATGTAGGAATTTCATTTTTTGAATTGGTCTTCAACTATGATCAACATCAAAATTTAAATCCTTTTTATATTTGCTTTTTGAATTCTATTTTATTATACATTCGTGTTTGACATTGTTTTTAAAACAATTTTTAGACTTTTCATTTTTATAAAAAATCAAAAAATTCCAAAAGTTATTTAGAAAGTGTAAAAGATCTTTTGAAACAACTTTTGGCAAACAAAAAAATTCTATCTTTCAAAAGTGATAAAAACATAACTTGATATTTGAAACAAATAGAGAATAAATTACATTAATACCCTTAAACTTACCAATCATTAAACATTTTCTTACTCAACAACATTAAATATCATTTTTTTCCCCTCAAAAACTGATCCAAACATAATTTAAAAAACTCATTTTACCAAAAGTCATTTTGAAACTAAAAAGTAATTACAAACACCCTCTAAATCACATTGAACAGTTACTATTTTGTCAATAGAAGTTTTGTCACATTTCTTTGTTAAATCAGAATTTTACCACATTACCTTTTGTAGATTGTCCACTTTGGTCCCTCCATTTTGTCCATCGCTTTCTCCACCGATACCTACGGTTCACACATCTACCATGTGCCTTCATCTCCTTTTACACTTCCGCTAAACACAAATACCAGGTCCTTTTCATGGAAACGACGACTCCCTAAGTTGAATATCATTTCTCCACGGATCGCTCTTGCTTTCTCTGAATATCATCGTCGTCCTCTACACACCCTAGACAACCACCTTCGAGGGTTTAGCGACTGATGACTTAAACTTTGGATCACATCCTTCGTCTTCCAATCAGATAACCACTAGATATTCATCTTCCAATTATATGAACACCGCCTCTCTCACCCATCATATAAACACGATTTCTATCTGCAATCGATTTGATTTTGTTTCTCTTCCACTTTCATTTTGTGCAATCGGAGCAGAGTAATCGTTATAAACAATTACAAGTAACGAGTCTTGGCTACCCGGTTTTGCTTCCGACTTCAATACCTCGTATTTGGAGTTGATATATTCTCGGTTTTGCTTTCGACTTCAATACATCCTATTTGGAGTTGATATATTCTCGGTTTTGCTTCCGACTTCAATACCTCCTATTTGGAGTTGATATATTCCCGATTTTGCTTCCGACTTCAACACCTCCTAGTTGGAGTTAATATATTCTCGGTTTCAACCTTTGAGCCGAAGTGTTGTGACATTCTGCTGCTTTGGAGCCTGAGTACCATGAAGATTTTGAGGTAATTCCAATTCCAATATCATTTTAATATTTGTAAATGTTCTCTTCCACTTTATTTAATATATTTATCGTGAATAACTTATATTAGAAACTTATTTACTTTTTGAATAAGATTCAAATCGAGTGGATGCAATTGTAATAATAGACTGAAGTTTAACTTTACTTCAGTTGCGTTGTTTTCAGAATTTACGGAATAAAATCCAAAACTGGGTTTGAGATAAAATTTGTGTATTGAAATTATACAGCATGGAAAATCAAAAGGTACATAGTCGAAGTTTTGTAATCATATCTTTGGATAATTTTTCGTTCTTAATTTACTGAACCTCAGTTTATACTTTTATTGTTGATGTTATTAACTTTTCAAACTCTTATTTTGGGTCCAAAGTTCAATTTAAACTGTAATCACCACATTCAAAGTTAAATCAATGAAATGAAAATGGATAGAAGAACCATAGTACCTGCTTCCTTATACTGCTGCACTTTTGAGTACTATTTATTAAAAAGCTTTTCTTTTCTGTACCATTTATTTGCTTTAGAATACATGTTGGACTGTTGGCATACGATTGCTTCTGGGTCGGCTTTCATTCCAATATTTTAATTTGAACAGCATGTAAGATTTGAAATTAGGCGTTATTTATCATTCTTAAGTAATATATTTCCTTAATGCTTGGATAACATGTATGATTATTCCAATTTATGCAACTATTATGTGGCGATTAACTTATTCATATCCAGCTATACTAATCTAATAAACCATTAACACAACAAAACACATCAACCAAACCATCTCGAAATTATCTAAAATGATGGATATTATTCCAGAACATAGGATTTTTCCTTTTTAGTAGTCCATTTCTCGATCAAGGAGATGCAATGATAACAGATGTTGTGTGTTGTTCAGAGTTTAATAAAGAGGAAAATTTGGAAATTCATCTATTAATTTATCTTTTTAGTTCTTTAAATACCAATTAATCATTGAGTTGCAAAAATTAAAGTCAACGAAGATGATTATGTTGATGCTATAGTTGTGGATGAAATTGTTGTATGATCCCGTTGAAAATGTAACATCCCTAAAAAGAAAACCACATAGTACGTTAATCCATTAGCACTTAAGTTGTAACACCCCGACTCCTAAGTATAAAAATTTAAAGCTTATAGTCACATTCTTAGACCTACTCGACGAGTTAGATGCCCTAACTCGTCGTGTAGAAGCGGATCAGGCCGCGTGATTTGTGAGGTCTACTCGACGAGTTAAAGGACCCTAACTCGACGAGTAGGAGCTAAATGGGAAAACCCTAATTTTTAAGGTTTGCACACTATTTAAAGGACTTAACCCGCATATTTTGGCCTCCTTTATCACCTCATTACCCAGAGAAGGAAATCCTAGCCGTTCTTTACTATTCCTGTGTGCTTGTGATGCTAAGAGAGTGTTTTTGGTGCATTTGTTGATGAAGTTTGAAGGTTGAAAAGTTGGAATGGGAAGGAGCTTGTAGATCCAACATGTACATCGTTTTGGCTACTATTTGATGGTAACAAGTTGTTACCTTGATCATTCTAGTGTTAGATCTCCTTATTCTTGGGTTTAAGGCCATTTTAGCATATTTGTGGATCATTTCGGGTATTGGGCATGATGTGAAGTTATAATTTCAGGTCTGGACTCCTCTAAGTCCTTATAGTCATCAAGTATTTGAATTTATCAAGCTTTGGCCCTTCTCTTTGACATAAACCTATCCATTAGCTTGGTTTTGGCGTTTAGGACATTACATGCACGTAAAGTTTGCAACTTTACGTGGAAACCATGCCTTAGGAGGCTAGATCTTCAATTTGGAGCCTTGGTCTTGCTTCAAAACATCTGGATGAGAAATTGACTGAAGGGACTCGACGAGTTGCATGGTCAACTCGACGAGTCGGATGAAGATTGCCTGTATTGGTTCTGCATGGACTCGGCAATTTAGTGAGATCACTCGACGAGTTAGTTTGGGTTTTTTCCTAACATTTGGACACCGCATGGACTTGACGAGTTGTCTAGAAACTCGGCGAGTCCACTAGGGTTTTCATGATTTCTCAAGTTCTGGAAGGAGTCGACGAGTTAGTGGGCTACACTCGACGAGTTAGATCAACATGGTCTGTTGACCTTGACCATTAACTTTGACTTTGACCAAGGGTTGACCAATTTATCTTTTGGGGGTATGTATACATGTTAAATGGGCCTTAGTTGTCCTTTTACATATATATTGGGCCCGATATATATATATATATATATATATATATATATATATATATATATATATATATTCTCATTCTTTTTGAGCCTAGAAATAATCTACATGCTTAGTGGGTCTTAGTGTCCATTTACATGTTTATTGGGCCTGGAATCCCTTATATGTTTCCTTTTTCACGTAAATTCAATCAAGGATCTAGTGAGATGTGTCGGATGACACCTATTGAGTATACAATCGTAGCCTATATTTATAAACAGAGTCTCCTGGAGGGAGAGCAGGAGTTTGTGTATAGATCTATATAGGGGTGACACCCCACACCTGAGGTGTTCGCTACAGTTAGACTAGGCAGGTCTTGGGTGACAAAAACCTTATCTTATTCCGTCGGCATCCAAAAACGCCATGACAGACGAAATTGTCATTAACTAGTATGGTTATAACGACTCACCTAGAGGAATTAACGTTATAAAATTTACGGGAAACCATCCTTATGACTGAGAACATGGTAAAATACTCACGCTGGTACTTAACCTCGGGTGTTGAGTTTCCATCATTCTCTTAGGCAGACAACATCAGGTTGTCCGGGGTTATTCTTTTTGTACTCTCACAGACATTAACACACATGCATTAATACAAGATCGGACACAAACATATCAAACTATTTTTCAGAAAATATCGGATTTTCTGGTGTTTACAAAGTAATATAAAACATTTTCTCTAACATGCTTATGAACTCACCAACATCTTTATGTTGACCTTTTACATTAACTTGTATTCTCAGGAAACCGTTGAGCAGGTTGGGCAGAAAAGAATTCATGGATATTTTGATATGTTTTGTTTCATCATACTTTGAATATTTTGGCATGTAATATTGAAATGCAATATTTGATGTAAACAAATGACAATTGTAATATTACATGTGTGATGATGATGATGTTATGTTTTATTATATACTCTGTGATGATCCTACAAGACTGAAGTCACCCAAGCCCCAAACATTGCCACAGTCTGGTTTGGGGGTGTGACAGATTGGTATCAGAGTATTGTTTATAGTAAACTGACATATCTAATAATCATACAAGATATGCAACTATAAATACACTGAGACTAAAACACTACGAATAAACTAATACCTAAGTATCTATTAATACTGTAACCTTAAAAGTCTCTAGAGAAATTTGAACACCATGGTTCAACACAGACAATTATGTAGTCGTATTGGGGATAAATATAGCCTGATCAACTATATTTATTCAAAATACGACCAACATGTGCCTAGGATTGATCATGTTGGGAAATGAATCTAGAAACTTACCTCATATCCAAAAAGCTATAAGGAACTCAATTCTAAACAATTAAAATACTATAGGAGTATTTGAAATGTTATCTATGTACACTCTCCTTACACACTTCTCACACCTCGTTCAGACACTACAGCTAAATTTCATCATCCAGGAGATCCCTACTTCTCCAACCAGGGGAATGGTGGATGTAACACCCAAAGTTGGCGAGTCCAAGGAGGGACTCGGCG